ATACTGATAAGCTGTTGGGATATCGAAGTGAAAATCGATGGATAATTAATTATTAATTTTCCGTCAATTATTCATCACTTGGTTTATCCGGGGAAATAAAATTTTAATGAAAATACATGCATCTCCCAAGTAAATAAATCTTGGGGAGAGAGTGTTGTTTTTTCTCAGTGCATGTGGAGGGAGAGAGTTCATTCCCCTAATCTGGAAGGAAATCGATGGAAGGTATCGTAACCCCTGGTGAAATAAAGAGAGGAAGATGGAAAAGATGGGAAAAGGGAAGGAAAAGGGCCTCGATGGGAACAAACTGACATCCCCGAGTATTTTTCGTGAGCGTCTTTAGGGGAAGAGGGAATTTCTTGCCCCTTGGGGTCGTGCAACCCTCGGATGTTCCCTGGATTTTCGTTGAGGAAATACTGGAGTAACCGAATGTGTGGGTGGGGTAAAGGGGAGATTCTGAATCGTAAATTTCACCCCCGTTGTCTCACGTATTAGTCATCGTGATTCACCCGGTTTGGCCTGCGAATGCGTGATGGAATTCTAGGGTTCACTGGACTCACGCACTCCGGAAACCTTCCACTGCTTCTCTTTTATTCGTTGGGCGATATATTTTTATTAATTTGGGGGTTTATCAGCCACTTCTCCACGTCTTAGCTCCCCGGCATCGCTGCAAACTCTCCACGTGGAGAGAAAAACTCAACAATGATTTCGTGACAAATTCGTAATTCTCAGCATTAAGCAGTTTTATTAACCATTTTAAAAACCTAATTTAAAACAACAAGGTTTATTAGTTATTATATATGTTAATTGTCGGGTCAAGCGTAATTTCGTAAACATTCGGGAGAACATGATTGTTCACGGTTATTGTTCCCAATTATTATTTTTTTAAATTATTCTTCAGATTTCTTGGGGCGTGATTTCTCGGTTACGCCAAAAAAATTTGAATTTGTTTCACGTGTGATGGAACTTCCGGTAAGTCTTGGGAATTTGTAAAAGGTGATGGTTTCTTATTCTTCTTTTTTCACTTTTTTGGTGATTTCTTATTTTGCGACGCCACGGAAACATTTGTGGGAATTATTCCATGGTAATTAATGAAATATCAAGAATGATCAAGACACATCGTCAGGAATTTAAGATCGTAATGGATGTGAATGAAATTTCTTTGTAATTCTTGAATTAACAAGAATTTAAAAATAATTCGGCATAGGAATATTCATTGTTGCTTGAAAATCCATTTAACACTGAAACTTCACTTTAATTTTTAAAAAACCACAAAATTCCACATGGCTACAACCTTTTTCTTTCAATTTGAATTAAAATAGTTTTTCCTTGCAACCCCCCCAAAACTTTTCAACACGCTAATAAAAAATAATACGTAAAGTTTTTATCAGCAAATTAGTTATTTCATTAATTATTCATGTAATTCCCCACGTTCTTGCATATTCCTAAAAAAAATAAATGGATTTGATACTCAATTTATACAATAAGTGTAAGACTTAACACTCTCATTAAAAAATCAATTCAAAACCTTAAAATGATATTTCCCCAAACTATCAAGATGCATAAAAAGTTTACAAATCATTTTCAATTGAAATTGAATTCAAATTCGAATCATTGAAAATACTAGATTCCAATATACGACGTTTATTCAAAATAATCAGCTATTCAACCGAGATATTTAAAACGCAATTCTATTTTCGCCCAATCCGATACCCGAGGATTAATGAAGCCGAATTAATTTTAAAGTCTCATTTGAAATAATAACCCCTCAGTTTTCAGCGACAGCATTTTTACGTGATCCCCTCCTGTCACACGTGGCATATGGAAATTAAAAAAAGAATGGGGGGAGAGAAAAAAGCAATCAGGACAGTCGGGTAAACGAATAAATGTCCATTCCCAGTCAATCATAAAATTCATTTGATCCGCGCAGAATTATGTTCCAAGTGCTCTACGTGGTTTTGTTTATTTTTCTAAACACGCTTGCCCAGTCAACGTCGATCACTCCACCCCCGCTCTATATATATACCACATGTGTAATATATATATATATATCGTTTTATTCGATCGATACCCGATGCCGCAAAACCTCGCGGGGTGCGACAACAGAGACACGCGACG